AATATGTTCTCATCCCCTGTCCTGCTCAGCTGCTTAGAAAGTGGTTTATGATGGAGATTTACTCTCCACGGAAGATGCCAGTGGGAAAACCTTTCTGCCCTCAGGAGCTGTGACATTCCCAGGGCAAAAAGAGGCACAACCATGTGAAGTGTCTTTCACTGGCTTCTGTAAAGACAAAGAGGTATGGAGAAAGCATTAGTGTAAACCAGAGCAGAGGGCTGATTATTAAGCTTTGGTTCAGGTATGTGAAAATCAAGATCTTGTTATAATTACTTCTCAAACCTAGCATCGATTTTGTGTTAGATTTGAAGGAGGCAGCAAAGCTTTGATTTGTTACAGAGAGGGTTAATTGCCTTTCAATTTATATACTACAAAATCATAAACTTATGAGAAAAGAGTAAGAAGAAGAACCTTGTCTTAGTCAAAAACACTTGTTTCCAGGAGCTTAAAAACTGGGTGATATTTTCAGTGGAGGAAGTAAGAGAACAGCACAGAGCTCCTGTTGATAGGCAGGGTGATGGGATGAGAAGTGTGTTTGCAGAGCCAAAGCTGATTTCAGTAAACACCCTGTGAAAACCAGAATTCACCTGTTAAAACCGGGCCTTCAGCTACTTGACTTTAAAGTGACCTTAGAGCTGAATTTAAAACGACTTAGCACACCTGGGTTCAGTGAAGGGGTGGAGATACAGAGTAGCATACAGAATCCCTCAGGAAGGTGTGGTTTAGAGTGGCATCTGGCTTGTGTTTTGAAAACAACTACTATTAAAAGCTTGCTGTAGTTGGAGGGTTTTAAAGCACTGCTCCTCTGCTGCAGGATTCTCGCTTAATTTCTCCAAACCCAAAGCAAATCTGCCAGGAGAAAGCCCTGGAGAACAAGTGCAGTGCCTGCCTTTGTTGACTGAGAGGAAACTGCCTTGTACTTTGTGAAATAATCAGCTGCTGTTCGATAGAGTGAGGTCCCTTCAATAAACCTGGAAGTGTTTCCACGAAGAAAGAACAGCAGGCAGATTTTGCAGCGGAACAAGGTCAGGCATTCTGCTCGCCGACACGCGCTTGCCCGGCTCTGAGGGCAATAAAATGGGCATTGTTGGGCTCCCCTCAAACCAGGCCCGTGCCAGGCAGTTCCACAGGCACATTAACTGCCATTGTTTGCTCCAGCCGTGGGAGCCAATGCACAGGCACTCACAGACAGAGGTCTGTGATGCCTTAAAGAGCCTTTAACCAACAAGTGCTGCGGCCCCGAACAGCACTGAGCTGTGACAGCAAATGCCTCTGCATGGCCGTGCTGAAAGAGCAACTTCAACCCTAACAAGAAGAAAATTACATATCTGAGAGGCTACACAACTAGAAAGATGAAATCTGCAGGGCCTGGATACACGAACTGGAGTTTAAACTAGTTTTCTACAACCCAAGTGTGAATTAAGTTAGTTTATGTTCATCTTGTGATGATGATCATAGAATCATAAAACAGTTTGGGTTGGAAGGGACCTTTAAAGGCCATCTAGTCCAACCCCCCTGCAGTGAGAAGGGATATCTTCCACTAGACCAGGCTGCTCAGAGCCCTGTCCAACCGGGCCCTGAATGTTTCCAGGGGTGGAGCATCCACCACATTTCTGGGAAACCTGTGCCAGTGCCTCACCACCTTAATTATAAAGAACTTCTTTCTTATATCTAATTTAAATTGACTGTCCCTCAGACAGGCCATTCCCTGCTGCCTTTTGCAAGAGTCCCTGCTAAAAAGTTTGTCCCCATTTTTCTTATAGGCCCCTTTAAGTACCGGAGGGCTGCAATAAGGTCTCCCTGGAGCCTCCCCTTCTCCAGCCTGAACACCCCCAGCTCTCCCAGCCTGTCTCCAGAGCAGAGGGGCTCCAGCCCTTGGAGCATCTTCGTGGCTTCCTCTGGACTTGCTCCAACAGGTCCATGTCCTTCCTGTGCCGAGGATCCCAGAGCTGGAGGCAGCACTGCAGGTGGGGTCTGACAAGAGAGGAGTAGAGGGGCAGGTTCACCTCCCTCGACCTGCTGATAAAAATCCATAAACAATCAAGGACCCTTTTCCAGGTACTAAAGGTAGTAATGTCTGTGTGCCAAGTATCACAGCCACCAATCTGTGCATTAAACATCAGCTTTACTACAGCCAAGATTCCATGGACGGAAAACCCAGGCAAAGAGCTGCACAGTGCCAGTAAGTTTCGTTGAAACAATAAGTAATTGGCCCAGAAAGGCAGGAAACCATGCGCCTTACGAGAAGGGGAGCATTTTGTGTGAGAGCATGTGCCATGTGCCTGGTGTGCCAAGGCCATTCACAGTGGAACACGAGCCCCAGGACATCAGTGAAATGCAGGAGTCAGGAGAAAGCCTCTACTCTGCAGCCCAATCCATGGGAGGAGGGCACTGCCTGCCCTGATCCGTGATGTTTTACTGGAAGTCAAAAAAATCAGGAAACTCAGCTCTTGAGATTTTTTTTCCTCAGGCTCCAGCCTTTTCACCTGAAAGACGTCTGGAGTTTTTCCACTTCTCGGTCTCCCCTAAAGCCCGGTCCAGGGAGGAGGTGGATACACCAGGAAACTGCTTTTCCACTTCAGATTTCAACTAAAATTTCTCGTTATTCCAACAGAGCACTTGATTCAGCAGCACCACTTCACGGGCTCTTTTATAAATAGAGGCATTGCCTCTGCCCTGAGGAGCTCACAGCCTACACAAGGCAGGCAAAATAAAGCAAATTGGGAAAAGTAGGATGAGCAGAAACGATGAAAGAGGAGAAGGTGCTGCTGGGAGGCCCGAAGTTGGCTAAGGAATAAAAGCTCTGTGGAATCCAGCTCCATTTTTTCATCCGTCAACAGACTCAGGTTGGAACAACCCTCTGAATGAATGAAACAGCAACCTCTGACTTTTGAGGGACTAAAAATGCTGAGTTCGTTTAAAAAATAATACAAAATTTATGGGAGCTGTAGTCTGTGCAAATGAGAGATTTGGGTTAAAAATGTGGAAATGCATTTTTCATTGCAGAGCTGGAGAACTAAAATGCAGCACTCAACTCTCTGTGCTAGTGTAGCCACTGGTGGTCTTGTCAGTGCACATTTTAAATTTTAATTCCAGTCAAAGTCTGGGGTAATTCTTAAAGAACAAGGTTCATCGTGGACATAATCCTGTTGCAGTGGTCTAAAGAAACAGAGATTTAGCATTGCCTACAGGGGGAGGATTTTCAGCCCAAAATCAGAGAATCCAAAAGATGGTTCTTAATTTAAACCACTGTGGTAAAATTAACCTTATAAGTCTCTTTTTGTTGTTGATGTCTGGCTCAGATCCATTTCTAACATGCTGTTAGCTATCAGAAATATGAGAGCGGTTACCCGAGTGCGTGCTCTGGGGTAAAAGCTGTTTTTAATTGCTATATAAACTCCTTTTATAACATGGTTATAAGATCACAGAGATAGTTCTGAGCAGTAATTAAAGCATATTTAGCAAATACTAAAAATTGCTCAGCAGGGGAATGTTTAATGCACACAAGCAGGAAAACAAACAGGTTTTCAGTTGGAATTGCTTTATGACAGAGTTGTGGAGTGCCTGCACAGCAGTGAGTGAGATGGGGCTATGGGGCTTCTGTAGGACACAAAATAAGGGTATAGGAAGGAGTTGGTGTCCTGCATTAGTGCACAAGTGAAAACACTGTGGTCAGACCATGCCTTTGGCAGTGGCCCTCCACAAAGCCTGGTTCACCAGAGGCATCTCAGGAATTTGTCCTAATAGGCTAAAAATACATATAACTGATGTTCTTTGACTCGCAGAAGTGCCTGACATCAGGCCACACAGGAAGAACAGTGACCAACAGAGAAGAATGAAACCTGATACTGAGATTCCCAGTCGGTTCTCCTGATGGTTATTGCTGTGCCTGGTGACAGTGGGATACTGTTTTATCTCTTTTTTATGTTGGGGTTAAAAAATAGATCTTCAACTTGCAAACATTTTAAATGTATATATGTATATATGTAAGTGTGTGTATATCTATATATAAGTATATATAGATATGTATACACACACACACACAGATCAGCCTTTGTGGGTCCATGGTGCCACTCAGCCTCGTATTCCTCACTCTTTTAATCCCAATTTGTTCTCCCCAGTGACCACCAGATGTACTCCTGAATGTATGCAGACAACAAAGCTTCAGCTACGGAGCCATGAACCACACGCAGGATGAGAGCGCTGGACATCCCCACGAGCGTGTAGGGTCACATCCAAGAACGCTGGAATTGCAGTGTGGAGCAGGCAGAAGGATACACTGGAGAATAGAAGATGATATTGGCCTCCTTCTCGGAGGCAGCGAGAAGAGCAAACCTCTTGATCCGCCACACCCCGGGGATTATTTTTAAACACGGAATGTGCGCCTGGGCCGCTCTCCACACCCACCCTCGGGCTCTGGATCCCCTCAGGGCAGGATCGGGCCCAGCCCCGACCCGAGGCCCCGCGGGCACAGGGACCCAGGAGACGGGCAGCACTTGATTGACAGCCGCTCCACCAATAGGAGCGGCGGATCCGGCAGCCGGCAGTCAATCACCGCCCGCACTGCGCCTTAAACCGCCAGCCCCTCCCGCCCCGTGCCTGAGGGAGGGGCCGCTGCGCGCCGCCGCCATCTTGTGTGTGGCATCCCCGCCCTTCCCTTCCTTAAGCACTCCTCCTCCGCCCTTCGCTTTCCACCCCCCCCGCTCCTCTCACTCGCCCGTCCCAAGAGGGCGGTGGTGGCGAACCGAGCAAAACGTGGCGTAGCCGCGGTCGTGGCGGCGGGCGGGTGGGTGGAGGGTCGTTGAGCCACGCTCAAGATGGCGGCGGGCGGCGCCCCGGCCGCGGCGGGCGGGGCGCGCGCGGGTGACGCGCGGCGCTCCGGGCATGGGCAGGTGGAGGCGGCGGCGGCGGCCGGAGTCGGGCCGGCGGTAGCGGCGGGAGAGGAGGAGGAGGAGGGGGCTCGGCCGGACTTCGGCCGGGGTTCGGAGGGGTAGCCGGGGCATCCGCGGCGCCTCCTCTCCGCTCCCTCACCCCTCAGAGTCGCTCCCCTTCGCGGCGCGGAGGGCGGCGGGCGCGGCGCGGCCATGGCCGAGGAGCCCAGCGCGCTGCCCTGGTCCATCAATAAAGATGACTACGAGCTGCAGGAGGTCATCGGTGAGCGGCCGTGGAGGGGGTTGAGGGGGTGCGCGCAGCCCCTCGCTGAGGGGATGGGGTGTGTGGGTCTCCGCTGAGGGAAGGGGGGTGGTCAGAACCCCCTGAGCTCAAGGGGGGTCCTGTCACACACCCCCCGCCCAGGAGTGGGACTGGGTGACCCTCCTCCTCAGCTGTAAGAGGGTGGGAGGGAGGGTCTGTCTCCCCTGCCCCGAGGGGTCTGGGGGACCCCTGTGCTGAGGGCGGGGTCCTGTCACACACCCCCCGCCCAGGAGCGGGACTAGGTGACCCCCCCTTCCCCTCAGCCAGGGTTTGAGGGGTCTGTCCCCCCCCGCCCTAAGGGGTGTGAGGATCTGGGGTACCCCTCAGCTGAGGGGGGTCCCTGTTGCACACCCAGCAAGGAGCGGGGCTGTGTGACCCCCTGCTTCAGCCACGGGAGGGTGTGAGAGGGTCTGTCGTCCTGCCCCGAGGGGTGTGAGGGTCTGGAGGTCCCCTCTGCTGCCCTTCCTGACGTGTGTGAGGGACCCTCGCAGGGGAACGTGGGTCTGCCCCGTCCCCAGCAGAGGGTTGGGCTGGTCTCAGGGACACCCCCCGTCAGGGTGTTAACCCCTGATCTCTGCCCCCCCCTCTGTGCGGGGTGTGCGGATCATCCTGCCGGGGGGAGCGGGACGGGGTCCGCGCTGGGGGGGCTCTGCTCCCCACCACAGCGTGGTTTGGGTGTGAGGGGGTCAGCAGGAGGGAACTCCGCAGCTTAGCCCCGATCATTTTGGGGCGGTCACATCTCTCTCAGCACTTTCGGAGCCCCGCGTTGCTTTGGTCCCTCCGCGGAGGGTTTGGTAGAGCCGCCGAACGAGCCTTTTATCCTGGGATTTTGCTGCTGCTCTGCGTTTTCATTCATTGTCCTCACAGCTCGAGGCCCCAGCCCTTGCTCTCTCCATTAAATGATTTTTTTTTTTCTTTTGCTCCTTCCTCGCTCTGTCTTCACTTTAAACTGCCCAGTTACCAAAGGCCTCCCGCTGTACTGATTTATTGGCTGTCTCGACCATTTCGTTGGGGTGTGTGTGAGGGATATATTGCTCTGGGGCGAGTGTGTGACACATCAGAGGTGGTGCCACAGGTGACTCTAAGGTCAGTGCCTCTCGTCTCGCTTTCCGGAGGCGCGAAATAAAGTAGGAGGTGGCAGGGCAGGCTCCTGGCCAAAGGCTTTTAGGAAGGAGGTTAATTTTTGGGGTAATCTCTCTGAGAGTGCTTTTATTTGAAGTTTCTAAATGACGTAGCACTGTCATGCCCAGGCTTCCCATCTCTGCCTCGTGGGGAGGCTTGTTTTCTGTTAAGGAAGGTGGGAGAGTTTGTGAGAATGCTGTTTTAAGAGATTAAATACTTGGCATTGTTTAAAAGTAGGAAGGAACTAAAGCTGTGGAGGGGGGGAAATCCTTCTGGAAATCCCTGTTGCTCTGTGGGATCAGGCTTTGTCCTCTCCCTTTGCTTAGGGGGAGCAGCAGTGCTTTAGGAAAGAGACAAACTCTCTGTAAAGACAGGGAAGGTGTAATCCTACAGACCAACCCTTTAAACCTTCTCTGGAAAATGTGCCCTGGGGAGGAAGATGTTCAGCCTCTTTGGGGAGCGGGAGATACATGAGGATCAGGAGATACAGGTGTGGGGAGGAAGGAGCAGAACATTTACCCATTTCCTGGGGAAAGAGAACTGGATTTGTCTGTGTAGGAAATACTTCCTTTTCTTTTGAGAGCCTGCAAAGGGTTGCTGTGGTGGCACAAAGCGAGGATTTGGACCTGAGTATCCAAGGATAGGAGCGAATGGACAATCTGCCTCTTTGTAGCTGGCGAGCAGGGTGGGATGGGAACAAAAGGGAATGTAAATACACTTCTGCTCTTGGGAGAACTTGCTGCTGGAGACCCACGTCCCACCTCAGAGTATTAGGAGGAGCACAGAGATGTGTTGTCTCACGTTAACTGACAGAACTTGGGGAGGAATCAGTAAAAAGTACTTAATTTCTTCCATATCTTTTCTCTGTCCCTCTGCAAACCGAGTTTCTGGATGTCGCCTGCTCACTCAGGGGTTGTGTTGGCATTCTGGCCTGTGATGGAGCGTACACTGAGATGTGTATATTGCAAACATATGGTTTCTCTTTTTAACTTTCCTGTCCCCCGCCCCCCCTTTACTCATTTCAAACACTGGTGTGTCTGCCAGCAGCCTGGATGGAGATGTGACGCAAGTTTCCTAGCACGTATATGATTTGTGGGACAAAATGTCACTGTGTTAACTGAGCTGGACTGCCTTGCCTCCTGCTTCATGTCTCCTGTAAACCTCAAGGGGTTTTTGGTGGGTTGCCCTTTTTTTTTTTTTTTTTTTTTTTTTAGCTCTTCACTAATGTAGAGCTGTAAAGGTCTTTCAGCACAGAACAAAGAGGCGTCCTGGTGTGGAAGGAGATGAACCTTGCACCGGTGCTTTTAAAGGATTTAACTTGTTTCCTGATGGAAAAAAAAAAACACTACTCTTAAAATTTAGAGTAAATTTTGAGATTACCAGCTCAGCTATTTTTCCACATCGGAATTCAGGAAATCCATGTGTAGTCTAATTCCTTAACTTGTGCTGTTTTTGCCTGAAAATTGCCATATGTGGCTTTTATTGGATGTGGATGGTTCCATACTGTTTTGGTGCAGGAATTAAAGGTGCAAGTTTTCTATCTGCAAAGAGAACTTCTGCTGTAAAACTGCCCTCCTGATTCTGGCTAATACTATAAAAAAAGGGATTACTCAGCACTGGGGATGACTCATGCCATTATAAAGGTATGGATTAATATCTGTGTTGATTATGCCTGGTTAGTGTTAATAACTGCTGAGTAGCTTCCTTAGGCTTAAATAACTTCTAGTACATTGAATCAAGGAACCTTGATCAGGATGAAAACCTGACTTCAAGTTAAAAAAGGATAAAGTGGAGCTGGGGTAGAGGAAACAATTTATAAAGCGTTTCAGTGACATGTCCCCTCAGAGTAGCCATAATTTTGCAGGTGAATAAGGCCTCTGGAGATACTCAAATTTTCATCTAAAAAGCAGAATGTAGTCTGTACTGTGCTGGTGGTTGTGAAGGTGGTCAGTCTTCTGAGCGTGGATTGCATATAAATCACTGCAGTCTTCTTTTTGAAGCCTGAAAAAAATTCGACCCCATGCTGCTTGTGCTGATCAGATACTCACACACGTGGGTTCCCTGGATCTCACAATTCCTGTTGGAAATGCTGGTAGCAGTAGTGAAGTTGGTTGAAACTGGGTCATTCTCGTTTTGCTACTTTTTTGGAAAGATGAGAGCTGTGCTGGCTGTGGCTGTTTGATTTAGGAGCATCCCCTCTGCTGCAAACAGCCTGTGCCAGAAGCAGGAGATAAATTAGTGGTGGGAGTGCTCCTGTGCTCTGTTCCTGTGCCCTCTCTCCCCTGACAGATTCCTTCACAGCGAGATGAGGACAGCGCAGGCTACATGAACAGATGTGGTGGGAGTTTCTTATCCCCTCAGAAATCAAACCTAAATTGAAAACTGAAGTCACCATTTACAGAATGATTAGGATTTTTAATGACTGCAGTTTCTGTAGCTTTGGAGTCAGGCTTTGCCTGTGAACACGTTGATCTTTTGGGGTTGAATATTTAGGTTTCTGGCCACATTCTTCCCAAGCTCTGCATGCGAGCATATGTGGCCTGCGTGGGAGAAATTTTCTTTTGCAGGTACAGAGGAAATTCTTAGAATTAAAATTTCCACTTCCCCAAATTTTGTCAGAATATCTGTGGTCACCCATCTGGTGCTTGTGTAGTTGTCTCACACACTGAGAAAGCACTACCATTGAAAAAGAGCAGCCTGTAGGTGCTCACCAGGTACAACAGGAGTCTTTGGATGTAAAAACCATACTGGAATGGGAGGCTCTTGTCCAATGATAACTTTTTAGGTTTCTTTTTTGGAGCACAGTGTTGGTTGCTACCTGTGGTGCCCGTGTGCTGGCTGCACCCAGTTTCACACGCCTGACTGTTTAAAACCCATTCAAGAAAAATGTTACCCTCTATAAAATATATCTGCCTGAGCTCTAAATGGAGTGTTTAGGCTTCAGTCTTGGTGCCATATGTTTTGTTTTAGCATTTCCTCACAGATTCCCACTCCTCCCCCCTAGCTTAGCTGAGCAAAATTGATTCCTACACCGTATTCCCAGTATTCAGGCTGCTTAATTCGTTTAAAGACTTGCTTTTTGTGCTCGTTTTTCCACTTAAAGTTGCTAGAAAATCCTTTGTTGTTTTGTATTATGTTAAAGCTTATATAAAATTAACTTTGGGCAAATGTAGATATGTTAAAAAAAGTGTGAGTGGTCATTCATAGTATATGATCTGCTTGGGCAATGTCGTGGGAGATGCTCAGTGCCAGTTTCTCAGCTGCTTGAGTATAGACAAATATACCTTGTGTGTTCCTGAGCGTGACAGAATAGCCAGGCTACTCCTCTATCCAGGCTACCTTTCCTTTGGATACTTGGCACATCTCATTCCTGTAAGACCTTTGATACTGTCGCCCTACTAGAACAAGGTTGAAGTGAGTCACTTTTCACCTCTGGGGAGGTGGAAGAAAAGGTGTGTGTGTGTCTTTGTTTAATGCTTTTGTTGTTTGTGCCCCGATAGGAAGAAGGATAAAATGCACAAAGCAGCGGAGTGAGGACTTAGAAAGCCAAGCAGTGGTGAAGGAGGCTGGCTGGGGAGAATACATCCTTGTTAGCCTTGCCTGCTGCTTTGAGGGGAGAGCAGAGACAGATCCCACTGCTTTCAGCTGTTCTGGGATATTAAGGAAAAAATCAACATGTGGGATGCTTCATGTGGAAGTAGCTCGCACTTTCCTGTGACTGGTTTCTCTGTAGCAGTTGCATCCAGTACTGTTATGTACCTGTACTGATTAATGTTTAACACTTTCATTTCTCAATAATCTCATTTAAATAGTTTCAATTTAATCCAAATCTCTTGGCT